CTCCATATGTATGCCCACCACATATGTACACACACACACACACACACACCTAAGACTAAGAGCTGGCTTTCAAACACACATCTACCTACCCAACACTTGGGAGACAGAAGTAGGAAGACTGTGAGTCCAGGTTAGCCTAGGCTCTGGGGGAAGATCCCACCCCCCAAAATACATAAAAATAGGCGAGGGATATAGCTCAAGTGGAGCCCTTGCTTGGCATGTGTGAGTTGGTGCTACGCTCAGTTCTTGGTACCACAAACCAACAAGGTTCTTTAGGAGACAAGATCCTGGGAGGGACAGCAGTGCAGCCCCTCTCCCCCCCCAACCCCCCACCCCCCGCCCCGAGTCTCTGATTCCTCAGCTGTAGGACATGGATGGCCCTGAACTCCAGATGGCCATGCAGATTGCAACTGGCTGTCCCCGGCAATAGCCAGGCAGAGGATGCTGTGTCCTCCAGGGCTGTGGAGTGCCCCCCAAGGCACTAGCTCTGTAGATGTGGGAACCCTAGTGTCTCTCTAGAGTCCCACAGTTGGAACTCCGCAAGCATCTCTGCTCCCCAAGGCCACAAACATGGCCCACATGGCGTTTGTGCAAGTGGCCTGTCCCCGGCGTTCTGACTCCCGCTAACTCATCGGGCCACGGCAGATCATATTTTCAGCTCTGGGAGCCCGGTCTGAGCAGTTGGGTACTCTAAATTTAATTCTGCAGGTAATTTGAACGATGCTATCTAATTTCAAATGTCCCCACTCTTATGAGTGCAAAAGCAGCATAATTTTTAATTAGTGGGTAAACAGTAAATACTGAACGGCAGTAAAGTGGACAGCACTGTTAATTAAAAATCCATGGTTGATAAAAATCAATTTGGTCTTTGCATTCAGGTCCCTGCAAAGAGTTGTATGACCCAGCCATGGCCCCATCTGCCAGCAGTGGTTCATCTAGTTAAGACTTTCCTGGGGGGAGAGAAAGAAAGCGGAGAGAAGAAAGAAAAGAAAATGGAGGTCTGTCCCAAAGCAGTAAGGGGCAACATCATGAGACTCTTTGTACCTATTAAGTTGAGTTGGTTGTTGATTTTTTCTTTAAACAACCTTTACATTGAGGCTACGGGAAGGCAGCATGGCTGGGCCTTGGGGCTTCTTAAAGATAGTCTCCACCGTGCTGGGCTCTGTGTGTGTGTTCGTGTTCTGAAGACAAAGAGGCCTGACTATCTCACAGTCTCCTAACATAATTAAATCCTAATTTCTCACACAAAAACAACATAAACGAAAACACACTTAGGGGGAAATAACATCTGAGGCTTCGTGACAGAGCGTGACATCTCTTCTCGGTGCCTTCAGGGAGGGGGCATGCAACAAAATGATGGCTTCCTTCCCAACAGAGAGAACATCTCTTCAAGAACCAGAGATTCATGGAGACAACAACACTCTAATTTTCAGAGCCCGTGTGCTATTTCACTGTGAAATGTAAGCTTCATTTCCCAACCAGGCAAATAAGGTTGACCCTCCTGCTTCGTCTTTGCTTCCATCTGCTCACCAAATCAACACTTTGCGGCAGGTTTCATTGACACTGGTGATGTTCAAATTAACCTGCAAAATTGAATCCAGAGAATCCAGCAGCTTCGGACCACAACGGTGGCTCAGAAACACCAGAATGTGTTCAGGTTGACAGCTTAGGGGAGTCTGTCTCAGTTCAGGATGCATGGGCTCAATGTGGATATCCATGCACCCACCATAGAGACCTGGCTCGGGTTTCTTCGTCTTACTGACATTGTGCCAGATTAATTCTGAAAAACCCACCTTCTATCTTGCAAGTTTCCCATCAGCCTTGCTTCCCCAGTGACTGACAGTGTGTCCATGGTAGGACTCCTTGCCCTGGTTACCTATTGCATTCTTTTTCTCCTACTTGTCTGACCACGATCAACAGATGCATTGACCAATGGGTCCAAGGGTCACATTCAGATCTTCACTCAGTCACTCTTCACATGTGTGTCCTATACATGTATGTCCACACACACTCTGTGTCTCCAAATCAGCTCCCATTGTCCTCAGTGGTGACCCAAAGGAGCAACAGTCAGAATCTGGACACCCTAGGCACTAGCTCATGCTTTTCTTGATGAATGCCACAAACCCATGGAGCTGAGCCACCAAGCCACAAACAACCCCGAGGGTGGCTGCGAAGATTGCAGGGTTACTATCAAGCCACTCGTGTCCCTTACTTGACTGATGACACCGTCACCACCAGCTACACCACTCATCTAGTCAGAGTCCACAGGGACTCTGGCTGTGACTCCAGATCCCAGGAATGTGAGTTTCCCTGAGAGAATGCTGGGCACAGAGAGCTCGGGGTCTCAGTGTGTACCAGATAGAGCTCCAAGAGGCAAAGTGGGGTTCCCGTGGCTTCCCCTCAAGCCCAGTGGGAACCTGTGAGCAGGCAGTGGGGAAGGATGGGAATATGCCGTGGGAGAGTTTCTCCACTCCACCCATAGTCTTCCCTGGAGGCCCTGGCTGGCCGGAGCTCTCTGGGCCCCTCCTGACCCACTTCGGCCCCAGGCTCAGTGGGAAGGGCTGGGTTGGCAAGCCTGAAGCCGTGGCCAGCAGCCAGGGTCAGGAGCCACCACGAGGACAGTCACTGCTGTAAAACTTGGATGCTGTTCACACTAGAATCCTGCGGTCTGGGCTGTGTCAGCTGTCCTTCTGAGTGGGCTAACAGCTCTGATGGGATTACAGTTCCTTAGCAGCTGAAAATTTTGCTACTCAATTCTGAGCAGCAGCTGAGAGCTGAAGGGAGCTGTCCCACGCCCTTGCCATCCTATCCTGGGCTTAGGGAAGAGGGCCAGGCAGGATGTGATCTATGTGGCTGGTCTCTGGCTCAGGCTCTAGGCATTTACCATGCACTCAGTGAGCATTGGCTGAGTGCTAACTATGCTAGACTCTGGGGTGTGCCATGTACAGAGGAGGGGACAGTGGCAAGCCTGCTGTACGCAGTCCACAAGTATCTGGGTGTTCTGGGGCCTGGGGTGAGCTGTGTAGCCTGCCTGAGGCCCTGACATGGGGAGAGCAGGTGGGCTAGGCAGTATGCATGAAGCCTGTGGATCTCTGACTGGGTTCTTTCTCCTTTGTAGCTAACATCATAGAAACAGCTGGTATTACAGGAGATGGCCATCTACACTGGGAACCCGAATGTCAGCAGCCAGTGCCCAATGGTATGCCTATCACTACTGTCCTGCCCCCACACATCAGTGGGCCCTGGATCTCCACTGGGTAAGACTCCCCTAAGTTCCCAACCATGCACTGCTAGGCTGGGAGACGTCTCCCTCAGAGTCCCAGCATGGACCTCTACGAAGTTGGGACAATGATCCATCCCAGTTCCCCAGAGGCTGCTTGCCAAACTCAGGGCTTGCTTTCTCCCCTCTGGAGGTGGTATCTGGAGCAAGGAACTGTCAAGCATCATGTCCAACAAACACGGTTAAGCTGAATGATACACACGTGGAAACCCGTGACACAGACACTCAGGCTTCCCTCTTGCGAGCTGGTGCACAGGGCACAGTAGGACACGGGCTAAATGGGCAAACAGGGCAGTGTGTAATGCAGATTTGGCATGGTACTGAACTGCGCTACAAAGCAATATATGTTCCTGGAGATGGTGACATCTGGTTGAGAGAAGTTCCCATTCTGAGATCCACAGGAAGGCACAACTGGTACAAAGAAGACAAGAAGTGACCAGCCAGCCAGAGTCTGAGTTCCCACCCAGCTCTCCGAACCTTGCAGGCACACTCATCTTATTGCAGGGGTTGCTCTGTGCCCTTCATCCTTGGCAGCCATCAGGTTACTCTTCCTCCCAGAGTGGGAGCCGAGGGGAAGCTGTGGCTTCCCTCACTTAGCCCCTCAGGTCTGCTCCTCAGCCCATTCCATTCTGGGGTCAAGGACTGAACTTTCCATGTCCTCCACGTCCCTCCTGAGCTCATGGAGACTCTGCTTGCCAAACATCTGCTAGCGCTTTGGGTGCCGGGAGGGGCCAGGGCGCAAGTTTTCAAAATTGCTTCTAGCACTTTTCCCAGGCTCCGGGGCTACAGCCCTACTTCATTCAGTCCAACTGGGACCGAGGCTGCTCTTGGCAGGGTCACTGAGTGCACAGAGGGAGACGCTGAGCTCGGCTGCTCCTGCCTCCAGCAACAACACTCTGGAGCAATTCTAAGAAACTTCCAGAACTTTCTTCCTAGAAAGTTCCCACTGTACTCGTTGCTTTCTGAGAGGAGTGTAGAAAAGGGTCAATAGTCTGGGACTGTGAGACGACGCTCTGCATGCCCTAGGACAGTCGTTTTGTCCTGCAGGCCCTGTCTGAGGTCTTCGGGTGGGCGGGCAGCCTCTCTTTCCTCACTCTAGCTGTGGCCTGGCCTACTAGCCACTTGCTGCTTTTCTTCAGACCAACTTACTTCTATTTACTTAAACACATTCATGCATTTTTACAGCCTTATTGGGGTATAATTGGCATACAGTAAACAGCACACATTTATAGTGTAATATAATTATTTTTTAAAGATGCCTAACATAGCTCTGGATGCAGAGAACAGCCACTTGCCATAAATAAGAAGTAACTGTGAAGAGACTCAGTGGAACAAAACCACATAATTGGGTTCTCTCTAGATTCATGACCCATCTCAGGCTCAGCGTCTGCTCTCTCTGGGAGAAATGGGAGCTGAGGCTTAAGACTCATTAGCTCTCAGCCAAGGCTTTCTCCTTCATGTTAGCAGAAAGCCTGGAGAAAAAAAAGGGAGCTCTTTCTGCTTGGATGAGAGCCACCTAAGAACAGAATACATATTAAGGTGGCAATCCAGGTGGGCACGAGGGAATGAGGGGGCATCCCCCACCACTCACCACAATGAGCCCTCAACAGGGATCTTCTAACCTTGGCCATGGTTGAGGGGCCAGGAGTCACTCCTTTCCCTTCTGTACAGCCTCTAGACCTGGAGGGGGCATGCGCGTGCATGCGTGCGTGCGTGCGTG